TAAGAACCTTGAACACCTTAAAGTATCTGCACCAATATTTATGTGTCAGTGGACGATGAAATTTATGAAATGTATGCCTCAGAGAAAAATAGCTCTTAATGGCTGCAAACACGTTGTAGCCGGCGTCGGTAGACCTAGCACAATAATAGGACACCTATCAGTAGATAGACTATGAGAGTTCTACCACACTTTTTTTTTTTAGAGTGCTGTGGTAGAACTCTCATAGCTGTGGACGCGAAAAGTGGGGGGCGGAGGTGTCTCTAAGGTTTTTTTGTGGTAGAACTCTCACAGCTGTAGACGTGAAAAGTGGGGGAGTTCTTAGGTTTTATTAAGGTGGAGGGTCGAGGTAGGATTCAGGTGGGGGGTTGAAAGAGGATTCCGGAGGTAAGGTGTCGAACATAGATGGGAAAATCTTATTGAATAATTAATGGGGTGTTGATCTAAGTGTAAGTATGCTGGTGGACAACGGGAAAATAATGAATGGTATGTTTATCTGAGTGTAGGTATGCTGTGTCTCGGTATGTGGATAACGAGAAAATCTTACTAAATTAGCCATTAAACTTGACACGTAAAGCTAATGTAATGCATTGACCTGCAGGTGCATTATCTTAAGCTGCTATGAAATCTAGAAAAATATCCTGTGGGAGGAAAACACGAGTAGAGAGGAAAAAAGTGAGGAGTAAGGCATGCCCTCTGTTTATTAGGAGATTTGTTTCCAAAATCATCAGTCTTGCTTCAGACATAAGTCTTGTAAAATTGTATTATGAATATGAAGAGGTTGTTGAACAGTGATCAGTTTTACAAGTTATATTGGTCGTGGATTATCAACCGAAATGAAGAAATTTCTACTTCAATGTTAAATCTCAATGAAAAATCAATCAACAAATTTCACCTGCTGGAATGATCCCAATGAGCTCGTTGATCGATTGCGGCTACTAATAGCCTCCTACAATGCAGGAAATAATGCTCATTCATATCAGATAATTTCGATTATTCGAGAGCTTAGGCAAGCAAATGTTATAAAGTAAAAATTTCACTCAAAATTTTTATGATATGTAAGTCAAAAATTGAGTAACTCTCAATTGTGTAGTGGCTACCGCTTAGTTTATACGCTACAATAAAAAAATGAGTATCAATCGTCATGGTCAATATTAGACTCCTAGTTACAATTAATTTCAGGGCTTTCCGGGAAATGGTTTCAAATTAAGTAAGGATAATAATTATAATATTGATAGTGAAAAATTGTGTAATATAGGTGATGCTATCGATTCAAGCGATGCTGTGTCATTGAAAAATTTCAATTATGCTTCTGAAGAATTGAAAAAGCAAATTCAATTATTTGATAATAGAGTGAAAGGACTCAATAGAAAAACAACGGATATAGCATTTAAAATTAAAAATGATGTAGAAGCATCATTCAGTAAAAAATACACTGGGAACTCATACATCTTCTATAGCCAATTCAATCAATATAATAAATTTAAAGTTAACAGTACTTCGAACCAAGTCCATCCTATTAAAACTCATGACATTTTCCCGGGGAATTGTAGAACTATGGAAATGGTTCCCGATAGCATATAAAAAACCATAAAATCATCAATTAAGTCAGAGATTATGTAAGATGAATGTCCAATAAATAGACTGAAGGAAAAAAACGATTAAAAAAATCGTTTTTTCTATAAAAAAACTTAGTTCTTTCGATAGAAGAATTGAATTGACCAATCAGGACAGTGTCATCATTTTATTCGTTCCCTGATTGGTCGATTGAAAATTTGTTTTTAAAAATAGATTTTTTAATAGAGAGGATGATTTTTTTATGATTTTTTTTTTTCAAGAGTATTCAACAAACTTCTATTTAGTATAATCACTCATCAGATTCATAATTTTACAGTTTTTTAAACGTTTTTAGGATCGTTTTTTGGTGATATTATGATTATCTAGAATCGTTATCGTCATTATAAGTTTATCGTTATCGTCATTATAAGTTTATGAGTTTATAGAAAAGGAAAGGAAAAAGGATAGGAGTAATATTTTATTATTCTATAGCGTAAAAACCGGAATACAAAGTGATGAGCAAAAATTTAGTACGTTAATTAACAATTAAAATTGTTATAAACAAATTATTATTGTTTATAACAATGAAGTTAATAATTCGACAAAATTTCTTTTCGTGGCAATTAAATATCGAGGATTCTAACAGAAAAGGTTAATTAACAATTAAATTGTTATAAACAAATTATTATTGTTTATAACAATGAAAGTTAATAATTCGACAAAATTTCTTTTCGTGGCAATTAAATATCGAGGATTCTAACAGAAAAGGTTAATTAACAATTAAAATTGTTATAAACAAATTATTATTGTTTATAACAATGAAAGTTAATAATTCGACAAAATTTCTTTTCGTGGCAATTAAATATCGAGGATTCTAATAGAAAAGGTTAATTAACAATGAAAATTGTTATAAACAAATTATTATTGTTTATAACAATAAAAGTTTATAATTCGACAAAATTTCTTTTCGTGGCAATTAAATATCGAGGATTCTAACAGAAAAGGTTAATTAACAATGAAAATTGTTATAAACAAATTATTATTGTTTATAACAATGAAAGTTTATAATTCGACAAAATTTCTTTTCGTGGCGATTAAATATCGGAGATTTTGATCCAAGACATTTTTTATTTAAACCAACTAAACCAGTTTTTTATTGAATTAGAATTAAAAAAAAAACATTACATGTAATACATTTTTATTTTTGGCTAATGATTAAACTTATCCTTTTTAATAATTGTTTTTTTTTTGATATTTTTATACTGTCTATTTTTAATCAGTGTGAAATCACTATCGCCAAGAAAAATAGAATATCTAAAAATTTTGCAGATTAACATAATTCTTTTGTTTTCGTTTAAACATCTTTCAATACTTATTAATATAAAGAGTGTGAATCAAGTTCAATTGTCTATATTACTGTAAACATATGAGCAATATTACAATATTTTTTGATTTGTAAAAAAAAACTTTCATGTTTAAATATAATGTTAACTTTTTTTTTTATCTCGAAAGATTATCTTCTACTCTCTTGATTATAACTCATGTTTTTTTTGTGTTCCAATTATTCTTTAATTAATTAATATTATTCAGTCAATTTTCATTCAATAAACTTCTTAATATTATTCTAGAAACATAGTTAATCTTATAACGATTTGAAACTATAAAAAGTATTCTGAATTTTTGCTTAATAACATCATTATATATTGTAACATCGTTAGTCTTATTTCTTGAGATCAAATAATACTTTCTATTTAATGTTATATTCTGAATTTTTGCTTATAATAACATCATTATATATTATAACATCGTTAGTCTTATTTCTTGAAATCAAATAATACTGTCCATTTAATGTTATCTATCTATATTATATTATAGAATAAATAATACTTTTATCTTTGGAAAATATATGTATATAATCATAAACGTTATCAAACTTTTAACAGAACAATTTTTAATGTCTAACTTTTCGTTAGTCTTATTTCTTGAGATCAAATAATACTTTCTATTTAATGTTATATTCTGAATTTTTGCTTATAATAACATCATTATATATTATAACATCGTTAGTCTTATTTCTTGAAATCAAATAATACTGTCCATTTAATGTTATCTATCTATATTATATTATAGAATAAATAATACTTTTATCTTTGGAAAATATATGTATATAATCATAAACGTTATCAAACTTTTAACAGAACAATTTTTAATGTCTAACTTTGGAACAAAATTTTCATTTTTTAACGTAACGCCTTACTTTATGTCTGAATATTATCATATGTTGTTTAATATTTCGCGATCAATTCCATCGTACTGTGCTGGATACATAAACAAACCAATATTTCGTAATTAAAAAAAAAAATTATATATCTTTAGATATAGTATTATAACTTTTTTTCAATTTTTTCATAAAGTTGAATATGGAATGATATTTTTAAGTTTTTATGAAAAAAAAAAATATTTTCAATTTCTTTACGAAAAAAAACTTCAAGAATAGTTCTTCTACCTAATCTATTTTCATCATTTTTTCCCCACTGGGACCGGCTTCTGGATCTGCTTGGAACGGTATTTTTCTCTTTAATGGTTCACAACCATCTTCTAATTCATCTTCAGTTAAGCATTTTCCATTAATTTTCACTATTTTATCCATATTTAGTACATAAATAACAATGACTCCATCTAATAGAATGAAAACACATATTGAATAATAAAAAAACATATTTTCAGTCAACTTAACATATCATATTTACTTGAATGAATTAGTGAAAAAAAATTTAAAACATTTTTTTACCTTGATCTGGACGTATTTCACCATCTACAATGACTTGACAACCCTCGGGAAACTCTGTTGCCTTAGTAGCATCAAAATTTATGACTTGAATTCTGACTCGATAAGTCCCGTCTGTTAAAACTCCAGAACCATAAGTACCTAAATTGAATTCATATGATCTTAAAGCTTCCTTTATGTAAGCTTTTGTTCCTAAAAAAAATATCACCAAATGTCGATAATGTTTAAATTTTTAATTATAATTGATAGATAACTTATAGAATTAATATGTACAAAATGAAAAAAAATTCTTATAATATTAATTATTAAAACAATGAATCAATCATTAACTTACTTATGTGAGATGTTGCAATTTTATTTAAATCGTTAAATGAGATGTCAATCACAGCGATTTTTTTAGCATCAACTTTGTGCCTTCCTTCGACATTCACCAAAGTGTTTGGACCTACAGATAATTCTACATCTGCAACTCTGCCATTTTCAGAATGAGAATAAATTGGATGAGCTGGAGATCCAAAAGCACGTTTAATGTTCAAAATCTAAAAATTTTTGTCAAGTTGAATATGAATACATTGCAAATGATAATGTTTTTTATTAATGAGATAAATAAAGAACGAATGAATTTATATTTCTTACTGAATAAGCACAGAGCTGTGGCATGAATTCAAAGGCTCTTTCATTCCAAAATAATATGCGAACTCTTCTTCCTGTTCCGTTGGTCGCAATAACCCGGAAAAGATCTTTTGTGTCCTTAGCCACTCTCTTCTTTCCTTCGATTAGTTCGACGTAACCTCTAAATCTTCTATAAAATCATATTCATTACATTCTAGATGACTAGATGAATTAACATTTTACATACAGGAGTGATCAGAGTGATATCTCCAAAATTATAATTTACTAATAAATAAATTAAAGAGATACAAATAATTAACAATATCACTTTGAAATTAATAATGAAAAATTAAAAAATATTATATAAATACATATAATTAACGAAATACTTACAATTCTGGATCCTTCACAGGATAATTATCGATAACAGAAAAATGGTCGTGTCCATACAACTCCTACAAATCCTACCAATATTATGAATGCCACAAGAAATACAAATACGAATACAAATGCATTAGTTAATAATATTAATAGTAATTCTGATCATCAAAATATTTATAGGATCAATAGTGATAATAACAGTGACAATAGCAGTGTTAATTTACAAAATTTCACACTTCAAAGATCTAATATTATTAGTGGTACAAATAGTATATTAATTAATAATTCTCAAATAAGTATAAACAATATAATTGTAGATACTTCTTCGAATTTAACAGATACAAGAAATGTTTTTGAACATTACATTGGAAAAATGGACGTATGTTGTTGTCATTGTAATGCAAAACATTTTAGTGCTGAAAAAGTTGCGAATAAAGGTACCTCTTTTAATGACTGTTGTCATCATGGTGAAGTTAAACTTGATCCTTTACCTACATTACCTAAATTTTTGAAATCTTTGTTTGAAAATACACATCCTAAATCAAATAACTTTTTTCAATGTATCCGTCGTTTTAATAATTCTTTTGCTTTTGCTTCATTTAATGCTAATCTTACAGATTTATCTTCTCAACGTCATGGTCCATATTGTTTTAAAATACAAGGACAAATATATTATCAAATTAATACAGCACTTTATTCGATGCCAAATGAAAATCCAAGTTTTGGACAGTTATTTTTTATCGATGCTCAAGAAGCGTTTGAAATTCGGACGAAAAATAATATAGAGTGTGATAAAGAAATTTTGAAAGAACTTGATACTTTCATGAGACAACATAACGTATTTGCTGATTCTTATCAAATGATAGCGAAAGAACTCGATAAGCAACGTTTAAATAGTAATAATAGTGAGGATGATCCTGAATTGCATTTAATTTTTACATTAAAACCAGGTGTTGATAGAAGAAGATTCAATTTTCAACAAGAAAATGAAGTTGCTGCTGTGTTTTCGACTAATGTTGATGGTGAAATTCCAGAATCATATGTTTCAGTAATTAATAAAAATACGAAATCTCTCCAATATGTAAGTACAATGGATCCTAATGTTGAGCCGTGGATTTATCCATTATTTTACCCGTTTGGCACAAGAGGATGGCATCAAAATATATCTTATGTTCATAAGCAAAATAAAAAAGTCACTCGTAACGATTATCATAAGTATAGAATAGCAATTAGAGATGAATTCAATGTGCTTTTAATGGGACGTCGGTTATTTCAACAATGGGTTGTTGATAGTTATGTAAAAGTTGAAAAAGATAGATTAAATTTTTTCAGATTTAATCAAAAACAATTACGCGCTGAATCATATGAAGGATTAGTCGACTATTTAAATAAATATTGTAATGGTAACAATAATCATGACAATGCTCACAATAGTAATAACATTGGAAAAATAGTAATTCTTCCTTCATCATTCAATGGATCCCCTCGTAATATGTTACAACATTACCAAGATTCAATGGCAATAGTAAGAAAATTTGGTAAGCCTGACATATTTTTGACCATGACTTGTAATCCAAACTGGCTTGAAATTAAAGAAAATTTGTTTTCTAAACAAACTGCTGCAGATAGACCGGATATAGTAACGCGTGTATTTAATATTAAAAAAAATGCTCTCATTAATATGATTGTTAAAGAACATCATTTTGGAGAAGTTTTAGCTTACGTATATGTAATTGAATTTCAAAAACGTGGATTGCCACATATGCATATGTTAATCACATTAAAAGAAGGACATAAAATAACAACTACTCAAATGGTTGATAAATATATTTGTGCTGAAATACCAAATGAAACTGACGATCCTATATTATATGATATAATAACTAAAAATATGTTTCATGGACCATGCGGAAATTGGTGTACAGTGAATGGAAAATGTTCGAAACACTACCCAAAGAAATTCCAGCAAGAAACAACTATGGATGAAAATTGTTATCCTCATTATCGTCGTCGAGATTTAGGAATTAGTTTTATTCGATCACCAACATGTACCTTTACAAATGAACATGTAGTACCATATAATAAAGTACTGTCAAAGCGATTTAATTCACATATTAATGTAGAAATTGTTTCATCCATAAAATCTGTAAAATATTTGTATAAATATGTTTACAAAGGACATGATAAAGCAATGATAACAATTAATGGAAATATTTCTGATTCTGACAATAATGTTACTGTCCAGTATGATGAAATTAATAATCATATGGAAACTCGCTACGTCGGACCAGTTGAAGCTGTATGGAGAATATTATCAAAACCATTACAAGAAAAAAGTCATAGTATTATTAGATTACCAGTTCACCTACCAAATCAGCAAAATTTACTGATCAATAATGATTGTGATGAAACAGAACTTCGAAACGTTTTAGAGAAACAAACTATGTTAGTTGATTTTTTTGCATTGAATACACGTGATCAAGATGCTAGACAATATGTTTATATGGATATACCCAATCATTATGTATTCAAAAAACAAAATGAAACAAATATTTTTCAATGGACACAGCGTCAAAAACAATTTAAAGTCATTGGACGTATGTACTCAGTAAGTCCTTCAAAAGTTGAATTATTTCATTTAAGATTATTATTAACTAAAGTAAGAGGACCGAAAAGTTTCGAAGATATTAGGACAGTAAATGGCCATACATATGACACATTTATGGATACTTGCCTCGCATTAGGATTAATTGCCGATGATAATGAATGGGAACATGCACTTCATGAAGCAATAAATTGGATGATGCCATGTCAATTAAGATATCTATTTGTTCGTATACTGTTACATTGTAATCCAATGTATCCTCATAAACTCTGGGAAAAATTTAAAGAATCAATGTCAGAAGATTTTACAAGCCGCTTCGGTTCAATTTTAGGTCAAAAAAAAGCATACTTACATATAAATTCCATTCTTTGCGATGAAGGAATACAAATGTCGAATTTTCCAAGTATGCCACAATTAAGAGCTTCAGAGTGTATGGATGATGAGGAAACAACAGATGATACTGATAATCGTGGAACTCAACAGTATCAAACATTAAATGAACAACAGAAAGAAATTGTAGATTACGTATTAAATTTATGTAATATAATTAATAGTAATGTAGCAAATTGTATTTATATAGATGGCCCTGGTGGATCTGGTAAAACATTTATTTATACAACGTTATGGTATTTATTAAAAATTAGAAAAAAAAATATATGTACAATGGCTTACACAGGAATCGCTGCAACATTACTTCCAAATGGAAAAACTTTACATAAAGCTTTTGGATTGCCTGTACCTCTTTTTGCCGATTCATCATCGAACATTAAATATACTTCAAAACAAGGGGAATATCTCAAAAACATTGATGTTTTTATATGGGATGAAGCACCAATGGCACCAAGATATGCTTTAGAAGTAATAGATAGAACTTTACGTGATATGATGAATAATGAAGTACCATTCGGAGGAAAGATAATGATTTTAGGAGGTGATTTTAGACAATTATTACCTGTAAAAAAAAATTCAATTCGATCAGAAATAATAACTTTATCGATCAAGTATAGCCATCTTTGGACACATTTTCATCAATTTACATTGACTCAAAATATGCGTACATTACCTTCAGAAATAGAATTCACTAAATTTTTATTAGATGTTGGTAATGGTACTTTAAATGATACTAATGATAACTTAATTTTACCAGATCAATGTCATGTATTTAAAATTGAAGGAATGATTCAGAATGTATTTGAAAGGTTAATAATTCAACGTGAATTTGATAAATTATGTAAATGTGCAATACTGTCAGCAAGAAATGTAGATGTAGAAAAAATAAATAATGAAGTTGTAAAATTATTAGATTACAGTACAGAAAAAATTTTTACAAGCGTTGATGACACGGAAAATTGTGACAATGGTGATGTTGATAATGCTTTATTACCAGAATACTTGAATACTTTAAATCCACCGAACTTTCCACGCTATGAACTTGTGTTACGAAAATATTGTATTGTTATGTTACTTAGAAATCTAAATGTTAGTGAAGGATTATGTAATGGTACGCGTTTAATGATTATCGAACTTGGAAATAATATTCTTAAGTGTAAAATATTAAATGGCGACAAATCGGGCGAAACAGTATTTATCAGTCGGATAACATTATATTGTGAAAATATTTATCCATTTACGTTCAAAAGACGACAATTTCCAATTACGTTGGCATTTGCAACGACTATCAATAAGGCACAAGGACAAACATTCGATATAATTGGGATTGATCTTACCAAAGATATTTTCAGCCATGGTCAATTGTATGTAGCATTTTCAAGAGTTCGATCTTGGGGAAGTTTACAAGTATATGTCAATAATGATAAAACAGACAGAATGATTAAGAATTATGTATATAAAGAGTTATACTCCTAAATGATATTGTTTTCGTATTTTATATGAAAATACAATTCATTTATAATACATAATATATAATAATGTTAGTTGAGTTAATAGAATGAATATAAAATTGACTTCATGTAATAGACATAATGTCATTCATTCATTTGACATAATGTAATAGATTGTTACAAAACATTACAGATAATTCTGGTTGTATATTGAAAAAATTGATTTTCATTAGAATGTTTTGAATGATTTGTTATCATTTTCCTTTTCTACATACCACATTCTAAGCCATTATTTTGATCAATGTTAGATAAAAAAAACAACTCATTACGTTCTTAACAACCCGCTTCATCCGTGTATAATGGGCGGACCAAATTCTGAACTCATCGAATAGAGGGAAAAACCAAAAAATAAACTTTAATTTCAATAAATATTCTCCATAATATTAGTTAACTAAATAGTATGAATATATATTTGACTTCATAAAAATCTAATGTAATAGATTGTTACAAAACATTACAAATAATTCTGGTTGTATATTGAAAAAATTGATTTTCATTAGAATGTTTTGAATGATTTGTTATCATTTTCCTTTTCTACATACCACATTCTAAGCCATCATTTTGATCAATGTTGGATAAAAAAAACAACTCATTACGTTCTTCACAACCCGCTTCATCCGTGTATAATGGGCGGACCAAATTCTGAACTCATCGAATAGAGGGAAAAACCAAAAAATAAACTTTACTTTTAATAAATAAATTACGATGGTTTTAGTATGGTAACGGCGCGCTCGGAGAGCGCGCTTACATCCTCTAGTTAAATAAATTACAGATAATACTTGAAAAAGGTATATAATCCAAAGTATAGTCAGAAACTAATCATTCTTGTGTTAACTTTTGTGGTATACACATCATTTTCTGAAAAAATGAGCATGCATCGTCTTGAAGAGCGTTGGGAATCTACTCCCGGTCTAGTGAGAGGGCCTCTTGGAATTGGTTTCCAATTAACTAGTGACGATCGGTTTGATATTGATAGAAATCGATTGTGCAATATAGCTGATCCCATAGATTTAAATGACGCCGCATCATTGAAGAGTGATCATAATATTGTGCATCAAGAAATGAAAAACTTACATGAAATACTGTTGGCAGATTTGAATAAAGCAATAGTTTTATCGCATGATGGAACATCATTATTGCGAGGATCTATATCTACTTTGAGAAAACAGATAAACGACTTAGAAGATTCAATATCTGGTGAAATATCATTATCATCATTAAATGAAACTATATCTACTTTAGAGAAAAACTTGGATAATTTTGAACAAAAATTAATCGCAGAGAGAATTTATACTGATTCTTAATTTTTAAGGAACAAGGAGCACTCTTAAAATCATCACAATCATTGAATTTCTTGCTTAGTGGTCTAACCTGGAAACTGTACCGGTAAAAACAAAAAATCAAAAAGAACTCGTCACCGATGCTATGAAATAAGTGTTAATACTGTAACGCGTACCTCAACAATTACATGTTGATAGAGGCAAAGAATTTTATAATAAAGAATTCCAAACACTCATGAAGCAATACAGTATAGAAATGTATTCAACATCTACAAATCTAAAGTCGTTTACATGTGATCAATTTAATCGTACATTAAAACATAAAATGTGGAAACAATTTATTATACGTGGAAATTATAAATGGATTGATATTTTACCTTCTCTAATAAAATCATATAATAATACAATACATAGTACTATTAAGATAAAACCGAAAGATATAATAGTTGATCATCAACAACAATTGCTCCAAGACATTTACAAAGAACATTTACATACAGTCAATAAACGCCTAAGATTGAAATTAAAAATTGGAGATAAAGTGCGTATAAGTAAATATAAACACGCATTCGAAAAAGGATATACACCCAATTGGACAACTGAACTTTTTACCATAAAACCGTCAAAAATACAAGACATGAATTGATTGATTATCAAGATCAGCCGATTGAAGGACGATAATACACCGAGAAATTCATCGGAGTCTCAAATGTAATCGTTTTCATTACAAATAACTTTACTCCTTTAGCTTTGACTCTATCTCTCACTACTTCTAATTTTTTAGCTTTTATTTCATCTTTATCATTCATTAACTTAAATGCTTACATTTTAGCTCTTAAACCGATAAAATGTGTCATAATTTTACCATTATTTTCATCTCTCATTAATCCAATATCTTTTTTATTTGCTAAAGGTATACCCCATATATTATCGTTCTTATACTCTGAAGTATCAAATTTATCCATATTCTCTTTAATATGTTTATAGATATCAGGATTTTTTAAATAATAGATTAAACTATCAGTATCAGAATACATTAATTTAGCTTGCTCAAGATGATATTTTTAATGTATATATTTATAATGAAAATCATATATATAAATTTTTGAAATTTCGAGAATATAGAATCCAATCTATATTGGCTTATCGAAAATTACTTCCATTCTCTTAAGTTCTATCGCAACCAAATTTCCATTAAAAGTACACTAGAATGATAATTAGGTTTACATATGTAATAATTCGCTCCGTAACGTTTTTCCCATTCTGTAACAAGTTTGACATCTCTATGTTTTCTAACATTTTCCATAGTTTCAACGAAAACAGCATTATTCATTAACTTAAAAAATTTTTTTTCAAAATCATTTCTCGCCTCTTTTCTTTTATCTGTTTTCAAATCTATGTATGGCTTTAGCCATCGAGATTGTTGAAATTTGAAAACTCTATGTATATTTGTTACTTTTAATCCTAATCCGATCCATTGTTTCAAATTTCTATAGTGAATAATATAATTTTTTTTATCATATAAACTTGTCATTAATTTGGAATGCATTGAATTAGGTGCTCGGAAATGCTTAGGGCAGAGGGGCAGATCTTTATGTCTTTCAAATAAACTTTGAGGGTATTCCAAATCAACTTCAAGTATATAACCAGTGAGATCATCATCGCTTATCGTCATAATATCGATTTCTGTCGTAGACCTTCCGGAAGAACCATATGGTAAAGAAGAGCTCATGGCTGCTCCATACAAATTGTTTACGTCATAGTACATTAAATATGATACGTATTTATGTGGCTGATAATCATCACCCATACATTCATTATTCGCCTCAGCATTTCTGTTACAACATTGTGATATTCCACCTCTAATTTCTTTTTCTATAAATCATACCATTTCAGTATCACAAAAAATATTTAATTCAATACCTGTGCATTTAAGCATAGCATCTAATGCTAATCCAGGTGCTGTGTAGTAATGTAAAGGATCTAAATTATCAGTTCTCATAGAATTTATTCTAAAATTTTCAAATATATCAGCTAGGAGACAAACATCTATAGTCAAATATAAATCGTAAATATCAGTGCTCTGCAGTGGTCTGGGTGCGACCCGAAAGGTCCACACGACCAACTTCCCAGTGGAAAAAATGAAAAAACAATTCGAATAAAACCTGTTTCCATTTTTTATAACAAATAGAATCGTTATAAACGAAATGAGTCTGTTTTTATTCATTTGACACAGTTAGTTACTTTATTTCAGTAAAAGAAAAAATTGTGCGTTAGAAGAATTCAAATGTACCTCATAGATCCTTTTTTTCATTATTTACAACGAATTTCATTGTTATACATGAAAAAAGTATGTTTTCATTTATGGCATACGGTTGGTAACATTTTTTTAGTAAACGAAAAAATTATGCGTTAAAAGTACTCATATATATATAGCATGGATCCCTATTTTTATTGTTTATAACTATTTAAAACTTTTTATTTAAATATTACTATTTTCAATAATCACTTGTTATTAACAATGTTCAATTGTTATGAACACAATTCCATATTATTGACAATTATTATTGACTATTATAGCGTCTTTAATGCTGTTTTCTCAATCCTGACACGAGTTTAAAATTCTTTCATTGCTGATATTGTTTTTTAAATTTCTTTTTTTTCGACGAAATATTGTCATCATATATCCATACAAGTATTCCAATCATTTAATATCCATATTTTTGCAATGATCTTGAAATTTTGTCTAAAAAATGGTATAATTTATAAATTGCAAAATTCAAGTAATTTCCTTTTTTTCCAGTTTTTTGATTCTGCCAAAAAAATAGCCTTACCGATTTTTCTGAAAACTTTTTCAGTTCTAAGTTACGTGATTACGCGTCGAATGCAATTGGTCCCACATCGATATCATTTTTTGTTCTCGAGATAATCGAGGCGAAATAAAATTCCGAATGTACGTACGCACATATGCACATACGCACACACAGACGTCCACTGGAAAACGGTCGTATTGGATTCGCGGGACCTTAAAACGTGGAGATATGTCAAAATTAGCGATTTGCAAAATCGGACCCATTACTATAACTTCCCACTGGGAAGTTAATAATCACCTGTGGTGTTAGTATTGAAGTGAGACCATACTTTGAGTGCATGCTCATAATCCTCATCGGTTACATTTAAATCATTTAGTTAAGAAAAAAAAAATTTTCTGTCTTGTAAATGGTTTTCTTCAAGTTTTTCCCAATTATTACAATATTCATATGGAAATACACCTTTGCATATTGCTAATTTAAATAATTCTTCATAGGGGAACTTCTTACGCATCATTATTTTATTATCATGAGATAAAAATTTAGATAATTTATCGATACTAGAGCTTATGAAACGGAATGAATCTATAGACGTCCACGTAAAAACTGTAGATTCTTTCTAGAATAGGCTTTCGAATTCATTTATTATCAATTTTTTTTTAGCAAAAGAGAAAATTACGCGTTGGAAGAATTCAAATATATTGCATAGATCTCTATTTTCATTGTTTATAACAGATTTAATTATTGTAAACAAAAAGAATGAGTTTCCATTCATGTCGTACGGTTGGTAACTTTTCTTTAGACATCCAGTCCCATAATATTCTGAGTTGTTGAATTCTGATAGATCCATCGTTATTCACAAAGGAAAAGATGTT